TTATGTGGCACTCATTTTTATCAATCCTCGCTTGATACATTACAGACAGGGTATCAGCACGGCACAAGCATTTCCATTTCCACTGTATTCCTTCATGAGCAAATGTTTTCTTTCTTCAGATTTCAGTCAAACACCCCTAGAATAAGTTCTTGCAATCAGTAAGAAGCTGTCTCTTGTCCTTGTTTCCCAAATGTTCAATTACATTAATGGGAGAAAAAAAGAATATACAAAATTCCCTTTCACCATGGGTATTTCTGTGCAAGCATTTGAAGTAGATGGCATGAATGCCTCCTGGGTGGGAGTTTGGTTGCTGCTTTACAAGCAGAAAGGAAGTTTTTGGAGTAAATCCTTGTTCCATCTCTAACTAACTGTAAATTGGATTTGCTCATGTTGATCTTCCTTTTCTTTGTTGGCTGTTTGGGGGTACTTTGGGAAGCATGTGAGAAAATGTACGTGTGGACTGCATGTCTCACTCGTAGCCCCATCGCTGGGAGCTGTGGCTCAAAGGGCATAATCCCAGTGACTCAAAAAAACAAGCCAGAGATGCAAGACATGGCAAGGGATTCCAAATATCTTCACCATGCTTAGTACCCTCACCTGGCCTCTCCCTCATACCTCAGGAAAAATAGCTGTGCAATGTGTTCACTGAACCTAATGAAAATGGGTTGGCTGTATTTTGGTGAATAAGTTACTGTCTTTCTCCTAAATCAGTGACATAGAGGAAAAAGCCATGGGTCTGTGGCTATAACATCGATCCCACTTTTACTTTTACTTTTACTTTTACTTTTACTTTTACTTTTACTTTTACTTTTACTTTTACTTTTACTTTTACTTTTAACTTGTACTTTTACTTTTACTTTTTACTTTTTCTTTACTTACTGAGCAGAAGAAATAAGATAATAGTTGTCCGTAAATACATTTTTTCTCCTTTTTGTCCTGTGTGTTGTTTATAAACCTTCCATATTTACTTGAGTGAAATTATCAGGTAAATAATTCTTAGTCTGTATATTGTCAGTAAGCAGTATGTAAAATTTGGAATTGTCGGGATAAATGTTATTCTTAGAATCATCTTTCCAGTCAAAATACTGAAAATTAAGAATTTAGGAATTACTCTCTGTTAATATCTTTTAAAATTGCTTAAAGTAAGTAGTGTCTGTGGGCCTTCTTTTCTAACAAGAAATAGTTTGAAGAGAATCATAACAGATGTGTTTTAAAATGTGAACAAGTATTCATAGATTTTTTCCCTGGAGCTATTGCCTTGTGCTGCTTTCTTAGATGGTGGCTAGTTCTTCTTATAGAGAAAGAGCACCAGAAACCTGCTGATTCTCTTTTCACAGTTCTTGGATATGTAATTTCACACACAGAGAAGAAAAATTGTGTGAAATGTTGTAACTGACATTGTCAGTCGGCAGGAAACCTGAAGAGAGATATTGAGATGGAGCTGAGAAAAGTGACAGTAGCAGAGCAGTACATTTTTATGTGATAGATAGAGCTGTAGGGTGCAGGTCATTGCAGCTGGCATGGGGCAATCTTTGTGTTACTGATATCCCCAGGGCTGCAAAGGCTGAGTGCCACACTCAGAGAACTAACCATGAGGGCCAAAAAGCAGCATCCAGTATATGTCTTATACAGCTATATTGTCCTTCTCAATGTTTGTTCTAGTAGCTTATAGTGGAAATGTCTAAAAATCATCTTTTTCCTACATAGATATAAAAAGCCACAATGAGATTTTAAATTGGACAGTTTTACTGCTGAAAACTAACACAGTGTATGTTAAATTGCTTGTTTGATCAACAGCACTGCACGAATTTTAGATGTGTGTTCTTTCTCAGGTATTTTACAAGTACTAGAAATAAATTGTTAAAAACTGGAAGTAGAGAGTACTGTCTCCAAAAGCACCTTCTAATTTCAAGAGCAACCCTCAGAGACCTTCCTTTGTTTCCCTTGCTATACAATAACTTTACAAGTCTCAAAACAGGAAATACATATCCTAAATCTTCCCTGATGACCATGTGACTCACAAAGGTGGCTCAAAAAATAAATTAGGTACCATAAAATAAGATAAAATAAATCATTCACTTAATTTAAAAATAATATTCTACTGAAAGTTGAAATTACTCTATGGTATCATGCTTTTGATTCTTTTTAAATCTCCTTTTCATGTTTGAGGATATTGTGGACATATTCCATTTTGTCACCTTTAGGATAATTGTTTTGGTTTTTCCTTTCCACATCACTTTTCATTATAGCATGAAATAGGAAATAATTTCATTTTATATACATGTATCAAACAGAAAGCTTTTATTTAATGTGCCATTTTCATAGGATTTTCCTCTACAGAGAATGCAGACATTTTCTGATTTGACATGAAGCTAATTTTGGAAACCTCAGGAACATTTGGAGAATGAAATCCCATTTCTACTGTTCAGGCTTGTTCAGTTTGTTTCTACAAATGGTGATACCAAGAGGTTTTTTGACCTCTTTCTCCGGAAGTATTGTTTCTGTGCTGCATTTCAGCCTGTAACCCTGGCATTGTCCATTTCAATTTCTTCTGTACTTAATGACTGTATTATCATAGAATTAAGATAATAAGAATAATTGCTTCTTTTTTTATGGCACTTCATGTGTTTATGAACAGTCATACACACAAGGGTTATTTTCCAAATCATTTCTCATTTTTGTTGTTCTCTTCTGAGTTCTCTAATTAGTATGTATTTCTTTCTTAATGTGGTGTTCACAACAGCATGCAGCATTCCAAAAGAGTCTTATCAAGTGAAGTAGACCAGAATAATTACCTCATTTCTTTAATGCGTGACATTCTTATTAATGTGACTCAATGCTGAGTATTTGCCTTGTTTTGCCACAGCATTGCATTGTTGATTCATATTCAAATAATTAGTCATCACAAATCCTCATGCTGTTCTCTAAGTCCATGTGCTAACACAGGCTATCCCTCAGCTGCCAATGGGTGCAGGCAGGAGCCACTCTGTACAAAAAAAAGGTATAAAATGTCCTCTCCTAACAAGACTGACACTTTCTGTACTCATATGTGATTACTGGTTCCTCAGATTTACAGGATTTTAAGTATATTCCAGTTGTGAGTGATTTCAAACTGATACCTCAACACTTGTCACTACTCACAAAAATGAAGATGTGCCCTCCCCCTCTGCACACATAGTCTTCAGAAGATATAGACAGAAACATTAGAATAATGGAAATTATCCTTGTCTCAGGGAAAATATTACTGGAGCCATTGTAACAAGACGCATTCCTGCCATGAAGATTTAAGGGATCATTGGCATTACCATTAGAGTCCTGTTTGGACTTTGTTCTTCATGTCTGCATTCTGGCACTGTCTCCTTGAACTGGAAACAGGTATTTTCTGTTCCCATGAGAATCACAGGACTTAATTTTCTTCAAATACTGGCATGAAGTCTCCTAAAGTCTCCCAGCAGAGCTTGTGGCTCTTGCCACAATGGTTGTGAACCATTTGCCAGGAGAGTGAGCATTCTCCTGACTGAGAGGATGCAAAGCCTTTGTTTCCCAAAAATGTTCCACATGTAAGAAGCAGAGTCCCACTGATACATTGATCAATGCACTGTTTTATTCCAAAATGAGCCTGAGACTTAAGTTCAGAGAATGAAAATTTCTGGCAGCATGGCTTCTGGCAGGTGACATCAAATTCACCTGGCGGCCCTGGCAGAATCCTCAGCAAGGTGATTCCGCTGCTCACAAATGTAAAAAAGTTCTTAATTTTTGCCCTAGAAGCTCAGGTTTAATTGCTTGGAAAGGACACAAACATAGCGAAATTAGGACTGTGCTAAGTTCACCCTCCCAGGAAGCAGGCTGCTTCCCTGGAATGGCAGTAGCAGAAGACACAAAGGTTTGTCATGCAGGCTTACCTCCAAAAAAGGACATGAGCCAAAATAATTGACTCAATGCTGTTCAATTTCTCACCTCCTTCCTGGGTGGTTTTATATACAAAAAGACAGGGCCTGTGATCATTATGGTCACTGAATCCTCATCTGAGAAGTGCTGTTCTACAGACACAAACTGCAGGAATTTGGCCCGTATGTTTTGAAGCAGTGACTTGAACATGGGTCTCCTGCATCCCAGTTGAGGGCCCTGATAAGAAGACTGCCACTGTCCCTCTTCCACTGGTCTGACAAATTATTTTCATTAGAGTGAAGCAAAATAAACAGAACTCAAAGGCCTAGTATGCAGAAACCCATGAAGGGAAGCTTCTCCCAAACAGGCATCACAGGAACTCACGTACTTCCAAAGAGACCTGTACAGCTGTCAAATATTCTTATTCTGTTTGAAAACCTTTTCTCTCTGTTTCTTGCAAAAACAAACAAAACCTTTTTTTTTCCCAGGGAATATTACTGTTTTTTCCAGTAATCCTTCTAAGAACCCCAATGAGACATGTACTTACAGAGTTATTATTACTAATCAAAGATATTCTAAGCAAATTCAAACTCTTCCCTCATAAGAGAATTGTCTCAAAAATAGAATCTGGGCGCAGCATAGTAGATTTTGTTGTCTGGGGAATCCTAAAGAATTTCTGTTTCTCTCTGCCTTTTCTTCTAAAAATGGTAATTGAAGTACTTACAATATTGTCTAATCCTAGGAAATAAAACTTGGTAAAAATGCAAACCATTGCACCATAATATCTTCATGTGGCAATTACATAAACAAGGATTTTCAAAAACAGCTGAAGAAATACAGGGACAATGTCTATCAAGTCTTATCTGAAAATACTAAGTACTTCAGATTCCCTTCAAAATTCTGGACATGCAATATTTTACATCTGCAAAGGTAACTGATTTATTAAGAAATACAGTACCAGTTAGACCCCCTGCTAAGTCTTGGAATGCAGGGTGCAATATCAAGAAAAATGCCTCAGATTCATATCAAAAGAATTTGCACTGTTATGAATTTGGGCCAGTAGCCACAATGATTTTTATGATAGGAAAGAAAAATGGCAGACACTGGTTAAATAGATTAGAAAGTGCGTTTAGATTCCTCTGAGATCATGAATCCCAATGGGAGCACTGTTGATCTAAAGATCACAAAGAGATAGGACCAGGTCACGTGCTGATGCAAATGAGCATAGTTTTCTTGACATCAGTGGACCTTCTGTGATTGATTCCAGATGAAGCGATGAGGTGATTTGGGTGTGCTATGCCCTCCTGAAAAGCTGTTGAGAGATGCAGTGAGATCAGTACTGGAGTAGCCTCACCAGAGGCAAACACACAGCCAACAGTGTTCCCTTTAAACAGACATGGAAGGGAAAAGAGCAGCAGCATCTCTCACTGTGTTGGTGGAGAGACAGGATGTGGTGAAAGGACAAAAAGCAGTGTTTGGAAGGGAGGCAATAAAGGCAGTGTTAAGTGACAGAGGCAGAAAGAGCACCTCAAATTATCCCAGAGCTTGTAGGACTCCACTGCTCTCCCTATCTTCAGAAAACCTTTGCTTTTGCACATCTTTAGATGGTTTTTGAGGTTTGGCTCAACAAGGGCTCAAATGTGTTTGCCTGGAAATAGAAAAGAGCAAAGATGAGGCCTACTCTAAATACACTCAAGCTACAGCAGTAGCACAACCAAGTCAACTTCAGTAACTAACTAATGCCAGCACTGCCTACAATTTAGCAATAGCCTCATGGCTACCCTGGCTCTCTGAGCAAAAATTCAGGCAGATTTTTTGATCTGGGCTTCATGGTGTTGTGGCTGGTGTGGCAGCTACACTGATTTGCTGATTATTTTTCAAGTGTTTTTTACCTTAGCACTATAGATAGACCTAAGTGTGTCTAAAGATATTCATCAGTGGTTCCAGGACTACCTAAAATATTTAAAAGTCTGGTAATGTGCTCCCTCTGGAAATGAAATTGAAAGTAATTTATTTGCTTTGAAAGTCTCAAAGCAGTGTAGTGAAGTAAATCACTCCTTATTTGAAATGGCAGTACCAAAATGCAGGACACAAGAAGTTTTCTTCATGGACTCAATAAAAACGGAACACAGATTTCTTTTTTTCCTAAGTTTTGATTTTAATTTTTCTTAGGGCATTATTTACACTATTTAAAGGCATCGCAGGCTGCATTAAAGGCTTTCACAGTTGAATCAGCTTCTCTATAGGAAACTGAAAACTTGTTCTAATATTGTCCCACATTTGCCCATTGAAAGAAAACTTAGAAAGCTCTTTTCAGAGTAACCCCTTTTTCTAATACTGAAACAATTTACTAGTAAACTACCCAATTAAAGCTATATTAACTTGGATATTTTATCTCACTCTTATTTTGCAGAGTCAACAACCCAAGTACAAGGAGACTAATGACTTAAAATTGAGCCCTCTCTGTACAACTGATGGAGTTTTGTTCCTGGGCTATCTCCTTCTCGTTTCATTCAGCATGAATGGCAGATTCCTACATCGTGTCAAGTTTCGGATCACCATAGAAACAAACTAGGAGGCAGTTTCATTAATCATTTAGAGCACAAGAAGTCTAGGTCAGTCTGATTGCAGCATATAGAGTATCATCCTAGCGCCACATGGGACTCAGTTGATTTGAATTAAAAAAGATTAAGCTGCCCCTAGGACGCTCAGCATCATCAGTTTAAGTTCTCATGTAACAGTGGTCTCTGGAGCCACATGGATTAGGAGAGTGAAGCTATGCATTTATTTTTCAGGGCTCAGTGAAACATTAGATGAGTGCAGGTGTCTGAGGGGGAAAAAAGGACAAAGATCACATATAGTTTTTTAGACTTGTTGCTGTTCTTTTGAAACTGGAAACAATAACTCAGTTTTATTTCTCCAGTGACAGTTACCGCTCTTTTTTGGCCATGCAATGGTACATCTGTTACCCAATGTTTACATTTTAGATTTACAAAAATTTCATACTATGAAGCATAGTTTTAGCACAGAGCTGCAAGTTGGGCATTGAAGTTTACATGAATGCTGACTTTTGCTTCTCCTGATGGGGTAAAAAATGCGTGAAATAAATACTGGTGACATTTTAGTTTTGCTTGAATGAAGATTTATTGCTCCCAGGAAACTGACATACAGGCAGCTACAAATCAACTTGACTATGAAATAGTTGTATATGTACACCACAAAATGAGCCCCCCCTTCCAAAGTACTCACCTTATTTATGGGTCTTCCAGTACTTCAAAGACCTTCAGTAACTTAGTCCAGACTGGTTTATTGCTTTGCAGAACTAAGACATTTCAAGGGGAAAGTTGCAGGTTACAGTGTATTAGGACTCTTTCTCTTGGGGGTCTAAGAATCCCATGATGCTATATGAACTGTTGATCTAAAGCTTATTACAGCATGACTTCCTAGAGTATAATTCTTAAATCTTTTAAGTTATACTGTACTGTCTTTAATCCCAAGTGCTAAACCTTAAGGAAGAACAAGCTTTCCAAAACTCAGAACGCCATCTGTGAGTTGATGTAATTACACTTTGTTAAAACACAGTTCACTTACTTGCTCAGACTGCCTGTGACCTATTTCAAATTAAGTTGTTTTAATTTTCAACAAATGTTTTACATAAAACAATCGGGGAACAAAATTTCTCATCACAATATTCCTCCTGAAAAGTAGTTCTGTGGACTGAGTTTCTCCAATTTACTCAATAACCAAAAAATTCCCTATCCTGTGTATTTTGTTCATTTGCCCTTGCTGTGCCAGTTACCTGGGCTGTGACAGTATCGTGAGCAGTGAAGCCTCCTGTCACAACACATCAGGAGGTACCCAGACCATGTCAATACTTTTTTGCTGATGTACTGTCATCCTGGGGATTTCCAGGAAAGAAATGTCATTAAGCTCAATTTTAGAATTTCCCAGCACTGTGCAAACAGACTGATTATGAGAAGGGGGAAGTGAGTATTATTCCCACTTTTACAAGTGAAAGTTGATATGATGTCATGCTTGCACCACAACAGAGGGCATGGACCACCATTGGAGAGCTCCTGTTTTCCCACCTGGTGCTCAGCCCAGATCCTCCTGTTTACAGCTTTCTGTTGATGCCCGGGAGATGGAAAAACAAAAGCTAAAGCATAGAGAAAGAGTCCCGATGGAAGGCACAAAACAGCTCATGGTAGCTAAAGCTTATTGAGTTCCAGCCATGGGCTGGTTGCTATGAAACAGAATAGAACACATGGCCTCTATGAAGCAGCATTTCTATGGTCTACTTCAAGGGTTGCCATCCAGCCATTTCCAGCCAGGTTGGAGAGCTTTGCCATCACCTGGTTGCATGTGAGACTGGTGAATTTGCCTGTGTGAGAAGGGGCAGCTGTGGCACCCCACACCTGCCAGCAGCAGTGATGGCAACCAGGCTGTCCCACCCTCACGTTTCTGCTCCACTGACCCACCAGGTGTCTCCCACCAGCCGGGACATCTGCCTTCAGCCACAGCCAAAGCCTGCCAGAAACAGTCCCTCCAATTGTGTCTCTTGTTCAAAGCCACCAAGCTTGAAGAAGCACAAACAGCCCATTCACAGTGTAAAGCAGTGCCGTGGCAGTGGTGTGGAACTGTGTGGAACTGGCCACCATCTCCTCCATCAGCAGGAGCTGCTCTATTTTGGCTACTTATTTGTTACCTTTGATTCAATATGACTTTTTCTTAATTGCTTTTTTCCCTAACTCTAGAGCAAACGTCTCTCTCTGTAGTCACAGTTTCAGGTCCCAGTGCCCCACAGCTAGAGGATGGAACAGGATGTCCCCTACCTGCAGGTTTCATGAAGGGTCCCCAGACCTGCAGCAAAGCTGCAGCAACCATACATACCTCTCTGTGCCCAGAAACGGGGAGCTAGCTCAAGCACATCAGGAGATGGCTGCCTCTAAATGAAGCTGCAGCTGTGGGTTGTTGTGAATCGTCTTGCATGTGCCACTTTACAGATATCTTATTTTTGCTCTTCATCTTGTGGCCAACGGTAATTTCAAGGTCAAAGCCTACATGCTCAGCTCTATTAACACTTTATTAAAATTACCATGAAGCTGAAAAGGAGATAATTTCATTTTTCTACCAAACACATCCTTCTTCAGGACCCAGACAGGCCTGGAAAGCTGCTCCTGGGCTCCTGCCAGTTGGAGGGAGAACTGTCAGGTTTGAAATTACACAGAAGCCCATGTGGTATTCCTTACTTCTGCTGCTGCCCAAAGCCATCAGAAGGAAGACAGCTTCTGTACAGCCCTTTCTAGCCAAGCAATTGTGGCAGTATTGTTTTTTAATAACCATGTAGCAAAATCACTTTGCCTGGTATGTGTTGCCTACAGATAGTCTCCAAAACATCTTTTGGCAAAAAACATGAAGAAAAGATTCGCATTCACTCTGCTATGTAAAGCTAATATAAAACATTTCTAACTCATTACATTGGCTGACTCTTGTTTTACTCTTTTGCTGTAACTACAGTGACAAAAAAAAAAGTTATGTTCCTTTTTCATTTCACATGGAGTGGATCAGAGTTATTTGAATTCCTGTGCACAGATCATCATCTGAACCATGTGCTTGTTCCCAGCCTTTCACTTATGCCTGACATAAGCAGTAATTTGAAGATGTTGAGGTGTCAAAAAGGATCTGAATCATTCTGACAAACCTTTTCTCATTCAGCTGTTGACCCATAGCTCTGTTTGAATTTGGGAAGCCTGAGGTCAGAATGAAAAACATTATTTTTCTTGTACGCCAAATATATTTGACTGAGAAAAGGTAAGCTAATAAAGATGGAGAGGCAATTTTTAATGTCACTTTTTAGAGTACAGTAATTTGTCTAATCTTATTGCCTTGGAATATGATTACACGTAATACATTCACATTACACAGGAGGGAATACATTTGGGAAAGAAATTATATGTTTCTCTTCCATGCCCAACATATGGAAACGTATAAAATAGGAAGGTCTAAACTTTGCCAGTGTTCACAATCTCTTGTCTGTGGGAGGAATAATGTAATTGTTTGGAAATTTCTGGTGACAAATGTACTAATTTGAACCTAAGTGAATACAGTTCACCCAATTTAATAATTTTGGGTTATGCAAAACATTGGCATACAGCAAATCTCTCAGTCCATACACTAATCAGTGAAAAATTCTTGGCCACTTTTCCATAACTCTCTGGTTGTTGCTGGTAGCAAGCAGAGATTTACTGTAGGAATTAAAGAAGCTTCATTCCTCCCATCACCAGCAGCTGTTTGTCACTGCAGTCTTCCTGGGCAGGGCGGAGCTGTATCAATCCATGGTATGCATGACTCACAGGAAAGTAATAAAAACCTGGGGCTAGAAAAGGCCTCAGGAAGGCAACTAGCTCATAGTGCAAGAGCTAGAGCAGCTCATTTAAGATAGAAACATAAGTAGTTGAAAAGCACATGCAGAGGAAGCATCTGGGTGAGTCTTCTGGAATGCTGTAAGTACTGGGACTTCTGCCTGCACATCAATCTCCATATGCAGCCTGGAGCGCTGTGAAAAGTCCGTGACCACAGCTCTTTCCAAACAGCATTTGGAGGCAGTGCATAAAAGCCTAATGCAAGAAATACCCACCTCTAGACTTAGAGTCAACCACAAGCACATAGAGTTGTTCAAGAATCCTGTGAGCTGCACAGCTTCACCAGTGATGGATTTCATCATTACTATTTCACAATAGATAAGGTCCAGAACCAAAATACAGAAGTCCTTTTTCACTCTGAATAATTCACAACTCTGAATTATCTGTTGTGGGATAAAGTCCATACCTTGGTTCCAAATTGTAGGTATTATATGTGCATTTCTGTTTCATTAAGGCAAAGTGTATTTGGGTAGCTGTCATGTAGTGCCTGGAATGTGATGGAAACAAGAGGTCCTGGCTGCCTGCTGCTGAGGAACTCCCAAGACACTTCTCACAGGAGCAGCGGTGTTAACCCTGATATCCTGGTCAAATTCCAACATGGTTAATTATATCCCGCTTTTACCTAAAGCTCTGCCATACTTTCTCTGCCTGCTGCAAGGACTTGCTGCACGCAGCAGGCTCTCTTCTGGTCCTCTCGAGGGTTATTGCCTTTCACATCAGAGGCAATGGTACTTGCAGAGTATATGCAGTTAGTTATCAGTTTGTAAAAGTTCCTAACCAGCACAGAACTGTTAAATTAAAACTGCAGTTATTACTATGTAGGGTCTGAGGCAAAAGAGTAAAAAAAGCTCCTGCAAAAGAACGAATAAATAAACCAGGGCTGCAAATGAAATTAGGAGCAGTAACTCATGTATAATGGCAATGACCACCGTAGTGGAGTCCATCATGCTCCACTATGTGACCAATGCCTGAAGGAAATTAGAGAAGATAAATGTGAGTGGGAACAGAGCACTGAACAAAGTGCAGGGGAAGAGCAGCACAGGTGAATATCCCTTGGAGATAATAATAAGGAACCCAAAGGAGAGAGGGAGAAGACTATGCATTCTGAGTTCACAGAGTTCACAGGAACACTTCATATGGACTGATACCATCTGCTGATGCTGCCTGTGAAAATACAGTGATTCAAGACTTTATAGTAACTGAATCTTCCCCAGGCTCTCAGGTCTGTGTCGTTTGCATACTTATTAAAAGCTTTTAAGAGATATTTGTAGCTATGTAAACTACAGTGAGATTGAACAGTGGGAAAAACCCCATGCATTTAAAATTTTGGCTATGAAATTTTGACTATGAAATAGAATATCAAGGATAATGTTAAAATGGCAATATCACATCTTACTGTTTGTTTGGAAAGCCATTGCAGGTGTGGTAGATAATACTATTGGAAATGGCTGCATGGAGTCTTTTTGCATCTTCCTTAAAAATAAATATTTCCTGAAGGAAAGAAAATTTTGTATATGCATTTACATACCAGAATGTATCAATCTTCTTAATTTTTCAGCATCAGCAGCCACCAAAGTGTCATTGAAATTAACAGACGTGACAGGTTCACCAAGAGGGGCTGAAACCAAACCAAAGAGTGGATTTCCATACTCTGGAAATCATTCTTACCCTTCCTTGCTCTCTTTTCATGAAAATGCAAGCTGTTTATATGTCTGCCAGGTATCCTGCTATTTAGAGAGTTCACAGGGCAGCATCCTTATAGCTCACCTCGTGTTAATAGATTCCTACTTTCAGGGTTCTCTTCTCTCTGATATGTACATGTAGTCACATACACATGTATATATGCACGGTGTGCACAGACACACTGATTAGATCTCTGGCAACATAGTGGTTCAGCTACTCAGCAGAATTATTTTAATTTGTCTCTAATATATAGTTGAGGACACGGCAATAGGATGTGCTGTTGATAAATTAAATGTGTGGGTGTGCACTCCAATGTATGCACATGAGGAGCTATTCTTGTTCCTGTTTTTAGAAGACAGGTGTTTCTATCACAGCTAGAAACCTTCACAAATGAGAATAAGAGCACAGAATCTTAAACGCCTCTTTCTGTCTTCTGTTTCTCTTCTGTAAGCAGGATGAGGTCATGTTAATGGAGTAGCACAAAGTAGACAAGATGACATAGTAGATGCTATCAGGATGTACTGTATTTTCATGAGATGAATAAAGCCTGTCATCTCCATAGCAATCAACAAACCCCACATATTCTTTAGAGCATAATAAGAGTGTTAGAGAGTTCCAAATTGTTGTGTAATTCCATATTCTCTCCTGTGTCATTAGCTTTTCTTATTCTGTTTAATGTACATAAATATTAATTATGTTAGTGTGGGATAATATATCCTTTTATAGAGCTGGTTTTCATTGTCATAAATTGAAGTTTAGAGAAAATTTAGCATAGAAATTAAATTCTGAACTGTTGCAATTTAAGACTTCACATTTCAGACTTTTAAACTGCTTTTATTCAGCAGCAGAATTTCACTGAATAACTCAAAGTTCCCATAAAACAACAAAACAGTTGTTTCTCTGGCAAGGAGTCTTGGATTTTTCATCCTGGAACTGTAAGAGAACTGGCAAAAGGGGACTCCCTCCTCATTGAAGAGGATTGCAATATTCCTTTTTTATTGTAAATGTATTTATTTATACATCACATTAATGAATCCTGGTTTGTCTGAGAGAAGAAAGTCATCCCCCATAGTACAAAGTGTAGATGTCATTTGCTTAGATACACAGAGCATACAGATTTAGGGTCAAATCTATGATTTTATTTTATCCCAGCAGAGCCAGTTTGCAGTCTCTTGGCCCTATAGGTAAAGCAGAGTTTAGCCTGCACTACAGAGAAATTATCTTTAAAACACAGTGGGTTTTGTAATGTAAGATCACTTTGCTGAATGTGAGCCTGAAGAACTGGCTCTCCCAGTCCTGTCTTCTCTTGTCCTTGAAATTTTCTCCTTTCCCCAGAAGTGTGGAGTTATCTGGACAAGCTATCAGCTAATCTCCTTTTCCACAGTCACAGCACAGGTGATTTGCTGCATCTTGCTTCTGGCTGACACCTTCAGCATAGCTAATTTTTGTTCATGACCTGGTATGGTGCAAACTCCACTACCTTGTTTTTAGGCTTGACTAGATGTTGGAAGTCCAAGAAACATACATAATAGAATTCAACAGAATTCAACAGAATCCAACAGCAACATAATGACTAGATTGGAAGAGACCTCCAAGATCATCAAGTCCAACCCAGCTTTAACACCTCAACTAAGCCATGGCACCAAGTGCCACATCCAGTCTGTTTTTAAACACATCCAGGGATGTGACTCCACCACCTCCCCAGGCAGACCATTCAAATACTTTATCACTCTTTCTGTAAAAATCTTTTTCATAATACCCAACCTATATTTCCCTTGGTGCAGTTTGAGACCGTGTCCTCTCATTCTGTCAGTTGCTGCCTGGAGAAAGAGTCCAAACCTGACTACAGCCACCTTTCAGGAAGTTGTAGAGAGTGATAAGGTCACCTCTGAGTCTCCTTTTCCCCAGGCTAAACAACCCCAGCTCCCTCAGCCATTCCTCACAGGGCTTGTGATCCAAGCCCCTCACCAGCCTCGTTGCCTCCTCTGGATGTGCTCAAGCATCTCAATGTCCTTCCCGAACTGAGGGGCCAGAACTGGACACAGCACTCAAGGTGTGACCTCACCAGTGCTGAGTACAGGGGGAGAATGACCCCCTTGGTCCTGCTGGCCACACTATTCCTGATACAGGCCAGGATGCCATTGGCATTCTTGGCCCCCAGGACACACGGCTGGCTCATGTCCAGCTGGCTGTCACCAGCACCCCCTGGTCCCTTTCTGCCTGGGCACTGTCCAGCCACACCATCCCCAGCCTGTAACATTGCAGGAGGTTATTGTGGTTCTACAGGATTTGACACTTGGACTTACTAAACATCATCTTATTGGACTCTGCCCATCCATCCAACCATTCCAGGTCTCTTTGCAGAGCCCTCCTCCCTTCCAACAGACTGACACACAATCCCAGCTTAGTGTCCTCTGCAAATTTACTAATGAAAGACTCAATACCCTCATCATGTCATCAGTAAAAATATTGAACAGAACTGGCCCCAGCACAGATCCCTGAGGAACACCACTGGTGACTGGCCCCCAGCTGGATGCAGCACTGTTCACCACCACTCTCTGGGCCCGGCCATCCAGCCAGTTCTGAACCCAGCACAGAGTGCTCCTCTCCAAGCCATGGGCTGCCAGCTGTTCCAGGAGTGTGCTGTGGGAGACAGCATCAAAGGCCTTGCTGAAGTCCAAACAGACAACATCCAGCCTTTCCCACATCCACCAGGGTGAGTCACCTGGTCATAAAAGGAGATCAGCTTGGTCAGACATGACCTGCTCCTCCTAAACCCATGCAGGCTGGGACTGATACCCTGGCCATGCTGTAAGTGATGACACTCAGTATAAACTGTTCCATAACCTTACCAGGTACTGAGGTCAGGCTCACTGGTCTAGAATTACCAGGATCCTCCTTCCTACCCTTTTTGTGAATGGTCATCACATTGGCCAGCTTCCAGTCATCTGGAACCTCACCAGTGAGCCAGGACTGCTGGTAAATGATGGAGAGCAGCTTCACAAGCTCATCTGCCCTCATCACCCTGGGATGGATCCCACCTGGTCCCATAGATTTATGAACATCCAAGAGGCTCAGCAGTTCTCTGACTGCCTCCCCCTGGGAAACCATTCTGCTCACTCACACCATCTACCAACTCAGAACAGAACTCAGAACTCAGAAGAACTCCTGAGGACAAGCTGTCTTCCCACTAAAGACTGAGGCAAAGAAGGTGTTAAGCACCTCCATCTTCTCCTCATCTGCAGTTACTAAGCTCCTTCCCACATTCAGCAGAGAGCAAAGGTTGGTCTTACCCTTCTTTTACCACTAATGTATTCCTAAAAACATTTTTTATTATCCTTTATGAAAGTTGCTAATTTAAGTTCAAACTGAGCTTTGGCCTCCCTAATTTTTTTCCTACATGCCCTAGCAACCCCCTTAAATACTTCCTGAGACACCTGACCCTTCTTCCTAAGATGATACATCCTCTTTTTAATCCTAAATTCCATTGAAACCTCCTTGCCCATCCAGACTGGACATTTGCCTCATCAACTCATTTTTTGGCACACAGGGACAGTCTGTTCCTGTGACCTCAAGATCTCTGTTTTGAAGCGTGTCCACCTTTCCTGGACTCCTTTGTTTTTGAGGGCTGCTTCCCAAGGAACTCTGAATAAATCTCCTAAATCGGCCAAAGTCTGCCCTCCGGAAGTCCAATGTAAAAGTCTTATTGATGTTCCTCCTGATTTCACCAAATATCAAGAACTCTATAATTTCATGATCACTATGCCTCAAGCAGACTCCAACCACCACATCTCCCACCAGCCCATCTCTATTTGCAAACAACAGATCTAACATAGTCCCTCCCCCGGTGGGCTCACTCACCAGATGCAACAAAAAGTTGTCCTCAACACACTCTAAAAACTTCCTGAACTGCCTCTTTTCTGCTGATTTAAGACCCCAGCAGGTGTCTTGTAGGTTAAAGTTGCCTACAAGAACAAGGGCTGGTGATCCTGAGACTTTCTCCAGCTGCTTACAGAATAAGTTGTCCACCTCTTCTTCCTGCTTGGGTGGACAGTAACAGACTCCCAGTAGGATGATGTCAGTCTTGTTGGCCTTCCCCTTAATTCTTACCCATAGGCATTCAACTTAGTTGTCATTAGTTTCAATACCCAAGGGATCAAAAGCCTCCCTAATATAAAGGGCCACCCCTCCACCTCTTCCCCCTTTCCTGTCAGTTCTGAAGAGCTTTTAGCTATCCAGTGCAGTGCTCCAGCTATGTGAGTTGTCCCACCACGTTTCCATGAAGGCGACTACATCATAGCTTTGCTGTTGTACCTTGGCCTTCAGCTCTTCCTGTTACCCATGCTGGGTGCATTGGTGTACATTTACCTCAGCTGGGCTGCTGATTTCACCCCTAACTCAGGCTTACCACCCTTGGGCCTGCTTCAGGAGGGCCCAGCTGCATTCCCCTGCCCCTTCAAACCAAGTTTAAAGCCTTCTCAATGAGTTCTGCCAGTTCATGAGCTAAAATCCTTCTGCCCCTAACAGAGAGATGGAGCCCATTCAGCTCTAGCAGGCCACGTGCTAGATGATCAAAGGCCAGGTTGCCCCATGATTAAAGAACCCAAAATTCTGCTGATGACACCAACCCTTGAGCCACTTGTTGATAATGTGGGCTCTCCTATTCCTTTCACCGTTTTTCTCTGTCATCAAAGAGACTGAGGAAAAGACTACCTGTGCTCCTGCCCTACCAACCACTTGACTCAGTG